TGGGTACAGTTACGTTGGGCAAATGTTTTTTTTTCTAAACTTTTTACTGATTTTAACAGTGGAAATTCAGTCTGACTTTAATGGTGCTTGTTTAAAAATGAAATAAATGGAGAATGTGTCCATGGGACCAAGATGATGCGCCCCGCTTGCATATAACGTTTTAAAGGGTTATAACTCAAGAACGATAAAAGTGACGCCGCCCAAATTAGAACTCGATCTTTATTTTATGGTAATATGCATCGTGTATACGTTTCATAACATTTGGTTGAGACAAACTAAAGTTAGGGAACGGAAGAAAAAAATTCAGCAATGTTTCCATATGTAAGGGACATAAATCCAGAACGGTAAAAGTGACGCCACCTAAATTCGAACTTGATCTGAGCAGTGTGTATACGTTTCATAACATTTGGTTGAGGCAAACTTAAGTTAGAGAACAGAAACTAATTTTTGGGACGTACGTACGTACGGACAGACGTACAGGCGGACAAGGGTAACACTTAATGCCTCCTCTGTCGGGGCGGGGGCATTAAAAAAATCTTAAGGGTAGGTAAGGTTAGGCCTCAGTTAAAACCTGCCTAATTTCTTGTCAGTTACCCTTATCCTGTTGTTGAAATGTAACCTCCATTTAAAGGTCACCTCTCTTTAATAAGTCCTGAGGAAAACCTTAATAAACATATTAGAAGGGGTTTATGATATCAAATATTGGATTTTATGTTGAGTTAGAAGAGAAAAAGTAAAAATGCATTATTAACAGCTATGGGTATTAAATAATTCTTTTCTTCAAATGCATAATATAAAGCAAGGAAAATGTTGGGTTAGAAATGTGAACATTTTTCTAATATCCTAGTGTTGAACATAAACAAAATTAATGTAGGCTGTCATATGTAAAGAGAAAATTTGGAGAAAAAAGTCCATGCTTTCTTGTTAATCATAGAACAATTTTGTTGTTTATTCCTGTTTCCAGTTTAACTTGGCACAAAACATCTTGATTAAGTCACCCTGTTACTGAGTAAGTACACCAGCACTTCTCATATGTATCCCATAAAATGATAGGCACTTGTCTCTAAAAAAAAAAACCTATATACTTTAATAATATATTTTATTTTAAAGTATATAGGTTTTTATTTAGAGACCAGTGCCTTAGCATACAATGAAAATAATGATTACCAAAATTATCATGTAGGAAACAACTTAACACTATAGTGGGTCATTAATACTGGTAGAGTTCCATTATATATAGAACAAAATTTCAATAGGAAACCTTTGGATATTGGTTAAGTATTTCAACAGAGTTAAAACACCACCTGAACTACCAATAAGAGTTTCCCTTAGACTAGACTTTCTATAATTCAATTTCAAAACTACTTTAAAGGAATTTTTAAACTGCATACTAAGATAAAGTTTTTGCAAATGTTTTCAATAAACAAAATGTTTTTTAAGTATGTCGATAATCCGTTATGCAACTAAGCACTCAGAAATATTTTTATTTTACAATAATAGGCAGTCAGAAGCACAGTTTCTTAATTCAACAATTTTTCAGGGGAGGTAATTTATTTTATTATCTATGAAACCATAGGGTCAAAACTATTTCTTACATCATTTAACTGTTACAGATTTTAAAAAGCCAAGGCTCTTGTAAAGCTAGAAAAGAAGTTGTGCATATTACTACTTACGAGTTCCTATAGCCAGTACAATGCCAGTGCTGCTGTGGATCTTGAGAATGGTATCCTTTGTTAGATTTCCTTCAGCCCTAGGAATGGTCTTTTAATGTTATGTAGGCAGTGCAAGGACAGCACATCAAACAATTTACGCTTTGATCGTTTTTGTTGAATGTGTATTGCAAAATCTAAAAGTTTTTTGTTCTGTGACAGAACAGAATGCAAACTTCTGATATCTTCTGACAATAATATGTCTGAAGTTTCTATGTCTATGTCACAGAAATTTTTACTAATGCAACTACAACACACAGATGTGTTGAAAAAACTGAAAGTACAATTCATCCGATATGTATTTCTAAATGAGACACATAACCATATAATCTTTGGAGTCCCCTGCCATGTTGTTAGTATTATTTAGGTTTTTCAGCTAAAAAAGGTAATGAAAGGGAGGCAACTCTCATACTAAAAAGGATGATTATATGAAAGATTTCTATGCTCATTGTGAAAAAAGTACTGTTTACCCCACCAATGCTATGTTCTAAAATGATCATCATCACTACCTCATTTTAAAATATCAATACTATATTAAATGATTTTTGGTGCAATTTATATAATTTTCATGTGCAAATTGCCATGAATTTGAAAAAAATAGCAGCAAGTGTCTCCAATTATTGAGCTATAACAATATTAATTTAACCTCCAAGGTAACCATAGCTAATAATTTTGTTTCATAAGAGCACTTCAATAATATCTATTTCATAATTATGCATCTCATTCCAACATGACTTTGGAATTTGGATCTAAAAAACTGCTGATCGAGACTAAACAGCTCATTCCAAAATATGACATTCAATTTCCATAGCAACAGTAGTAACTATGTCAGATCACTGCATATTGTTTAATTACTTATGACATATAAAGTGTTCCTACAAAATATTATGAAAATCTGTAACTATGCATGTCCTATATAAAATAAAAAGATGTGGTATGATTGCCAATGAGACAACTCTCCACAAGAGACCAAATGACACAGAAATTAATAACTATAGGTCACCGTACGGCCTTCAACTATGAGTAAAACCCATACCACATAGTCGGCTATAAAAGGCCCCGAAATGACAAATGTAAAACAATTCAAACGAGAAAACTAACGGCCTGATTAATATACAAAATAATGAACGAAAAACAAATATGATAAACAACAACAAACGACAGTGGTAACCGGTGTAACAGTACAACATAAGAACAAACTATAAAAATCAGTTAAAAAAAGCAGAAATACATCTAACAAAAGCATAGAGTGCACGTGGCAGGGTAGTTATACATCCCCAAAACAAAAAGACACTAAGTACAGATCTGAGAGTACTCGCAGTTACTGGAAGCTGGTTTAAAGTCAATAACAACTAATAAAAAAATCATGCATCTAAGACTAAAATATCAATCAGTACACATCCAACAATCAATGGATTTAGTTTGATCCTTAGGGAGAACTCATGTTAATACCTATAAATCTCAAATGTATGTATAATATTTCCAGAAATGCTATTTATCGAGGTAGAAGATCAAGGTCATTCTGTTGCAATTATTTATTATTAGGCTTTGAAATTTCTATCAAACGTGTTACCTTCGAAAAAGTTAAATACTACGTTATTCTGGCGTTATGTGCAAATAGGAACAGATCTTAGTCGGAACTTAAGCATTGATAAATGATAATACTTGTATAATTTATTGAATGGATTATTGATTTTGAAAAAAATCTGCAGTCTGTTTCTGTAGATGAAAATAGGATTTTTTTTAGTGATGACCTTTAAACTTTATTTAAGGCATGATGGTACCAGCTTTTATATTTACGACACATATTTTAAATAAGTAAACGATTTAAGCTTTTCAATGAACTATTATAATGCCATGAGGTAGGTAGGTAATTTAAATTTCTAAAATTGTTCTGTCCGCCTCTCCATTAATACGTTTCCAACATAAAAGATTTAGAATACATTGAAATATCGCTTTTCATATAATGATTTATTTATTTTTTTTTTAATTTGCTTTCCACTGACTTTATAAATTAAAAGTATATGTTTAGTATTAAACTATTATACAAAGTATAAGACAAAAACGGTAGAATTGTGTCTTGCTGCCAGTTACAATACATATTATTATGGTATTATTTACTTTTAACTTGTAATCATTTTTAAAAATATGTTAAAATTTCCTTTAAATAAATGATTTTATACGGTTTTAGGTAATTGCAAATAAATCATAAAGAAAAATATTGGCTATCGGTCGTCTTGACATTTTCAGTGATATTTATGAAAAGGGAACTATTTATTTATATCTTAAAGTACGTTTTATTTCTCACTGTTAACTCATGTTCATAACATTTTCCTTGTTTTATTTTACTTTTTTATTTGACGTAATATTGCTGACATTATAAAACATACGAATTTGTATTAATTGGTCTTTCCCCAGCATTTGACAGAATGGCATCTTGCGAATATTTGACAACCCGTCAAAACAGATAGTACAATCTATCAAATAGCGACATCTAGGTGCATTTAAAATTGAATTATATGCCTCACTTCACGCCGCTAATTTATTGTTTTACTTGGGGTTCCAGGTTCAAATTAAATGCAAACACCATCATTGTAAATTAACGAAGATGAACTGTGCGTTCAGAGTTGTTTGAAAACAGTCATTGATTTATAAACTGCATAACGGCAGAAGAATACATTTTTCAATTATAACACATTACCCACTTTTTATTGTGTAAGTATGTGACCTGTAGGTTTTAATGTTTACAAACATTAAACATAACTCTAATTATTTATTTTTAGTGTTTGGCTTCCAAATTTAAAACTTGTACTTCTGATTGCACTTATTATTGCAGGAATACCAACCCGTCACTGTATGATCGGGCTTTTGATTAATTATGATTTCTCGCGGATTAAAATCAGTCCTTATTGTTCTTTATAAATTCATCTTAGATGCCAGGATTAAAATTTTGTACGCCAGACGCGCGTTTCATCTACAAAAGTCTCATCTGTGACGCTCGAATTTAACGTTATATAGGGCAAATAAAGTATGTTATGTTAAATAGACTGTTGTTTGTCTGTTATGTCGTTTTTCGTTGGGTTTTTTGCCATGGCGTTGTCAGTTTTGTCTTTGAATATCATGTTGGTAGCTTGTGCTTCTCTTTTGAAAATAAATCATGAATGATGTTATAACGTTATCAATGTTATAGATTGATTTTTGTGTCCAACTGTATATGGTTAACTGACTGAATCTTCTTTTTTTCTATAAAAGTATCATATGAATTTCAATGTAGAAAATTTAATTTAACAGAATGCAATGCTGGTTTTTACGGCAACGGATGTCTTGAACCATGTTCAGCAAACTGTATGAATCCACAATGTAATCATGTGACAGGAGAATGCATCGGTGGATGCAAGGATGGATTGCAGGGATTCAATTGTTCACAAAGTTTGTTGTTTTATTTACTAGAAACATTTATTTGATTGTTTTTCTTATTAAGATAACGAAAAAAAGTTATATCTTGGAGATCACACCAGTCCATTTAAGCTGAATTGTGCATTTGTCCAAACTCCATTTTTTTTTAAATATGCAATATTTACTTCATTTGTCATAGAGTGATTTAGTTTAATGTCTATTTATCACTTTTATTTAATTAATGTGTCAGTTGTATTAGCGATCCAACTATTTTGCCTCTTTTTAACCCATTAATTTTAAAAGAAATATTTTTATAGGATAAAATTTGAATGAACTTTTATGTAATACACAATGTACATTTTGATTCAAACCCCCAAAAAATAGAAACTTCAGTGCCAGGAAATTAAATTGTCAACTGATTGTTGATCGATGTTTACATACATATTTGATATTAAAAATGTGCACATATTTTCAGCTTGTCCTAACGGTCAATTTGGGAATAACTGTTCTAAGTTTTGTGATGGATGTATATCAAGATTGTGTGATCATGCTAGTGGAATGTGTGAAAACAAAACCAGCTGTAACCCTGGTTATAGAAACTCTGACCATTGCAACATAAGTACGTAAAGTTTTTGATATTTAAACTCTGCAACTATTTCATTATGAAATACAAAATCGTCAGATAAACGTAAAAAGACAAAGTATCAAAAGTTTGATATAGTAGGATAAACAGGTGTATAGTATGATTTAACAGCAATTAAACTTCAAAACGATTTGTTGCTAAAAGTATTACCAACTTCCATTTTATTGAGCAAAGGTAAGCAAGACAGTTTCTTGACAAAATATTTTCTCGAAGCATAAACACAAACTTAGTGAAATGAAAACATCTCACAATTACACAATGGTTAGAAGATTTTGTTTATTCTAATATATAAAGCAGCGATATGTATTTATTTTCTTGGTAAATAATAACAGAATAAAAAAACTTAGAAACATATTGAGTATTCTTGAAGAGAATCAAATGTAAGCAAACATCCCGTGTTTTAAATCTAAGGATTTAACAACAAAAGCATGAAAAGTATAGGTATAAACCGTGTCTTTCGCCAATTAGATTAAAATATCTGATCATTCATTAAAACGTCATCAAAGATACCAGGCTTCTAATTTGGTACGTCCTACGCGCGTCTTATCTACATGAGACTGATTAGTAGTGCTCGAAACCACAAAGTTGGAAGGCCAAATCAAATACGAAGTTAAAGAGCATTAGAACGGAAACTTGTCTCTTCTTTGCTTATCTGCAGGCAATTATTTTCTGATTTATTTGTTTTCTATTTCTCCTAGGTATGAACTAGTGTTCCGACTCTTTTAGTATGTTTTAAAACTTTTCCCAATTATTAAATGATGGATATTATTGATTACTAGCTTGCCCTTATAAATCCAGAACGTGAGGTATATTATCCCATTTGTGATATGAGAAGTTTTTCTGAATTGATTGTACAATTTTATTCTCGTTACTGGTTGTATTGTTCCTTTTTAGTAGTCCGACTGTTCCAATTTGTGTGAAGGTAGTTAAAACCGCCCATGAGAAAAAATATGAAACTTCTTTCATTAATAAATTAACCTATCATTTAGCTTGCTGCTTTTGATAGATGAAGATCCTTATATCATACCTATCAACAGCTTATCATTTTGGTTCAGTTTTACTTTCATAAATAGACTTTCCGGGATATTGTTTTCCATTGATTTTGTTTTTCAGTAGCTTTTTAATTGCTGAGTGTAATAATAATCCCTAACCTTTATCTGTATCTTGGTTTTTGCTTAACATGCGGTAATTACCTACTTCTGGTAATGAATATTCTGCACATACTTGTTTGTATCTTCTATTTTGAGTTTTTCTTTAGTTATTCCAATGATATTCGGCCTACTGTCTCTATTGCCAGCAGATGGTTTTGCCAGGTTGTTTAACAGTTGATGTGCATTAGTCCAAAAACTCTTGAACTTGGATAAAACTATTAAATTATTAAGATCTCAAAAATTAACTTCTATTTTAACGGGTTGTTTTTATTCAGTTTCTTCCTACTTGCTAGTAGATCTTTTTTTTTTTCATTTTGACCAACGTTCTTGCTCACGAGGACCCCTTACTTTTAACAGGTACTTCTCTAATACATCTTCTTTGTCTGTTCTTCCACAGTTTTTGATCACTGCTAACTCTTTTATACTGAGGAATACTGAATTGGTCATTTCCTCCTTTTTACAATCTCTCTTACAGATTCGTCCAGTTGAGTTATTCATCTCTCACTGATTTCTTTACATCCATTTGAGACCGGACAAAAATATTAACTTCCAATGACCAGCAAAACGGGTCCCACTAGACAAGAAGGCAGTAATTACCCTGCTGCAAATGAGAACACGTCTGAATTTTTAGGTGATTCTTGCTACTCAATCTTCACTTATCCTTCCGGAGCACATGAGATCACCCCCGATTTTTGGTGGGGTTCGTCTTGCTCAGTATTTAGTTTTCTATGTTCTGTTTTGTGTACAGTTGTTTGTCTTTTCGTTTTTTGCCATGGCATTGTCAGTTTGTTTTCGACTTATGAGTTTGTATATCCCTTTGGTATCTTTCGCCTCTATTTTCTCTTTTTTTTTTGTAAATGTTACTGTATTATTCCATAAAGTACTAAACCATCATAAAAAAGGACAAAACTGCTTGATTTTTATATTGGAATAGGCTTTAACCTATCTTTCAGTAACTGAAAAGACACTCAGATCTGTACTTTGTTTTTTTGTTAGTTATTTTTGTGCTTTCTATCAATCTGATGAGTTAAGCCCTTTTCAACTGATTTTTATAGTTTTTTTCTGTTCTGGAGACTGTGGTTCAGTGATTGTCGTTTGTTTATTGTTTTGTACATAAATCTGGCAGTAAGTTTTCTCTTTTGGATTGTTTTATATTAGTCATTTCTGGGCCTTTTATAGCTTTCTATGCGGTATGTGTTTCGCTCATTGTTGAAGGCCGTATGGTGACCAATAATTGCTAAATTCTGCGCCATTTGGTGTCTTTGAAAGTTGTCTCATTGACAATCATACCACATAGTCTAATTAAACACTGTATCTTTTTATATCATACGATATCATCAGAATAAAATATCGAAAACTAGGTAAAGAGAAATGATGTACAAAAATACATCTTTTATAAGAAAATGATAGTTTTTATACTTGATTTGAATTGATTGAAGCTATGCTATTTATTCCTCAGTGTGTGCCGATGGGGAATTTGGTGTTGATTGTGTAAAGAAATGTTTCTGTCTAACCGAACCTTGCAGTAAAGTAAACGGAATATGTCCATCTGGAGGTTGTAAAGAAGGATTGCATGGTGAATCATGTAGCAAAGGTAAAAAACAATCATAATTCTGATTAAAACTCATTTATTGAAACATATTGTCACAGCAGTACAGAAACATCTTTATTTGTGAAACGTGTATACAATGTGCGATGTTATCTAAAATCTTAAATGTAAAGAGTTTATTTAGTTGACATACTGCATTGTAATGCGTTGTAGGATTTACTGTTCGTTTTTTAAAATTTCGATACATTATGATCGGGTAACATAGATGGCTGCAATTATCATTGTTATTCCTTGTAAGTTCCAATTTTAAACTTTTTAAACTCAGAAAAGTTACCTTGTCAGTATAAGGAATAATATATTAGGTACTGCATGACAAGTTTTCTTTCAAAGAGTATTGAAATCTATTTTATTTGCATCATAATCTACACCTCTGAAGTAAGAAACTTGTTTTCTTACAACTAACTTCTCAACTTCTCCGAAAGAAGAAAAAGAGGACAAAATAATGTTTATTTTTACAATATGAACTTCCCTTTCGTCGAATTTATTATCACAGCTTTGTGTGTATAATTTTTACCTTCAAACAAATTGAGAAATTATAAATTTTTACGCTCATAAACTGTTTTTGTAAGATGTGATGTCGCACTTTGATTAGTAATATCATCAGCGATTGTTCTCATTTTGCATGCCTTTGCAACTAGATCATATATGGGCTAAATTTTCGTAATTTTCGTAAATTATCATTTTTAGTTTTACCTTGAAATTATGAAATGTTTTCCTCTTATAGTTGATGTGTTTCCCTCGGTTTTAGTTTGTTACCCTGATTTGTTTTTGCTTAATCGAATTATGACTATTGAACAGCGGTATACTACTGTTGCATTTATTTAAAATCATGTTTAACGCCTAATGTCACTAAACAAATCATCAAAGTGACAAGCTTATAATTTGGTACATCAGACGTGCGTTTCGTTTACATATTACTCATCACTGCCGCTCGAATCATAACAGTTGAAATCCTTATCAAATATTACGAAGTTGTTGAGCAAGTTGTGTTTGTATGCTAGTTTTTGGTGAACATATTTCGTCCTTTTAGTATGCAAAGACGTAGACATATATATATCTCAATATGCATACCTACACCTGAAGCTACCATCACTTTCTTGTTGTAGTCAAGGGCCTATCGAAATCCTAATTGTTTATGTTCAATGACATATTAATGGATCAACTTTCCAATTCTTATTCACTGCATTTATAAAATCAAGATCAGGTAAGTTAAATAAATGTCACAATTAAGACAGATTTGATGCATGTACTAGTGAATAGATTTTACATTAATTATTGAAATGGACTCCTTTTTACAAATAGACTTATGATTCAGGAAGTCAGTAAAACTCAGCTACTAGTATAACATAATAAATTTTGTTCAGCAGAAGCTCCTTTCTGTATATACCTCGGGCAAAATGTAACTCAACCAGTTATTTTTTCAATATATATTTTCAAAATCATGTGTGTCGATAATGAACAACACCGACGTATAGATGCCTTAATTTTAGACAATTGTAAATAACAGATTTAACAAAATACTCGAGAAAAGCTATCTTTCAAAAGGACATTTAACTATGTGTTTTGACCAAGCTGGATAAGTAATTGTTGTAAAACTTGGTACTGTCCAGTACCTTGTTTGTTTATTTTGATATTTAGTGACAAAAACTGTGTTTTATGCCCAACCTACGACAGTAGAGGGGCATTATGTTTTTCGGTCTGTGCGTTCGTTTGTTCGTTCGTCCGTTCGTCCGTCCATCCGTCTGTCCCACTAAAGTTTTTGGTCAGGTAGTTTTTGATGAAGTTGAAGTTCAATCAACTTAAAAACTTAATACACATGTTCCCTATGATATGATCTTTCTAATTTTAATGCCAAATTAGAGTTTTGACCCCAATTTCACGGTCCACTGAACATAGAAAATGGTAGTGCGAATGGGGCATCCGTGTTCTATGGACACATTCTTGTGTGTATAATGAGAGAGATAGAGAGAGTTTGCAATGTCCATTGACCAATATTACATAGATATTTAAGACGATGCCACATAAAATAACTAATCCTAATTGTACCCACTAGCTCCATACTTTAGAACATAATCATCAAAGTGAAAAAGAAGAACTTTTATTAAAAGGAGTCAAAAGGTCATGAACAAAGGGATTGTCATTTTCTTATTTTTACTTAACCATTGTATTGTAGAAAAAAAGGCTTAAATTGGTAAGGTATTCCTTTGTACTTCTAAATTAAAGACAGTTAACATTTGAACACAGTGACTGTAGATTTCCAGATTATCTTACGAACTTGTCCCTTTGAATTAATACACACAAATTCCAAAGTTTTCACCCTATATTTCAGGATGTGACAATGGTAAATTCGGTCGAAATTGTGCAGAATTCTGTGACGGATGTATATTTAATTTATGTGATAAAAAAAATGGATTATGTGAAAACACGACTGGATGTGAACCTGGTTATCTATACGATGAATACTGCAACAATAGTACGTAAATTATGGTATATACTATAAAGTTTCGTTATTCCACCTTTTATTTGAGTCAAGCCAAGTTGTCCATTTCGCATATTTCAAACGGCCGATTCAAAACATATGAGTATAAGTTGACAGATCTTTCCATAAAGGTTTGTAATTTTACTTTCCGAAATATTTTAGAACAACACTGCTGCCATTACTAGAAGTAAAACTTTAAGATGAAGTCTTACAAATAGCTCAAAAATTTATTGAAAAAATATTTTTGATTTGATATAATCATGTTAAAATAAGGAGATTTGGTATGATTGTCAAGGAGACAAATATCCATCAGAGCTAAAATAAAGTGGTAGTAAGCAATCAAAGGCCACTGTACGGCCTTCAACAATGATAAAAATCCGGTACCGTATAGTCGACTATAAAAGGACCCGACATGAAAAATGATAAACATTTCAACCGAGAAACCTAACGGCCTAATTTATAGCTAAACAATATACGAAAAACAAATATGACTGGCATGAACCAACGACAACGACAGTACACTACAGGCTCTTAACTTTGGACAGGCACATACAGAAAGTGACGGGGCTAAACATGATTGTGAGCGCGCAACCCTCCCCTTAACTGCGACAATGGTGTATAATAAACAATATAAGAACAAACTGTAAAAATCAGTTGCAATTGGCTTAACTCAAATGATCGGTACCAGGCACAAAAAGCGCCAACATAAAAAAAGACACAAAAAAACGAAACAAGAGTACTCGCAGTTATTTAAAGCTAGTTCAAAGCCAATTACAACAATAATTGCATACTACTTGATGAGATCAATTGAAGTGGTAAATTCTTATCCTAAATTGTTTTAACATTTGAAATCCAATATGACCGAACAATTCCATCAAGTAAGTATATCGTAGCTGACCAGCCTTATGATAACCTTCTTTTGAAGTTCATGTCCGTTTATAGTACATGGAAAAAAATGAAAGAAGATAAAACAAATAGACAATACAAAACAAATCAAAGACATCACCACGTCAAAAACAAACAGATAACAGTAAAATACACAATATTGCACAAGATGAACCAACCAAAAACGGTAGTCAATTTAGATGCCAGATGCTCCTGGAATATAGTAATCCATGTACCTGTATTGGCATTCTTCATTACGCTCACTGCAAGAAAATAATTCCTGTGCAAAGTTTCGTTCGATGATGCCTGAAACGATTGCAAAGAGAACAGGCTGTGTCTTCAGCAAGTAAAAAATATATGTGGTCATCTGAAATCCAAATATTCAAAGACAGTCTACCATTTCTGATGGCGTCCGCAATATTTGACAAGGGCTGACTTCATTCAAACATTAGGATCTTTTGGTTTAATAGTTTCATTGAACGCATTGACTTATTCTTAATGAAATTGTTGTTAAAAACGGAAGTTCTGAAATACTATATTAAACCGTGAGATCTACACTCCATGGCGCATAATAAAAATAAAAATATGCACGATGGAAAAAACTCAAATCACCTCCATTGACGTAACGTTTATTGTCATGCTAATATCGCTATCTATTTCCACTTTATGTACGCAAAGATATGATTTAAAACTTACTATATATCATGTATATGTGGTATCCTTTATTTCAAATTCTTTAGATTTGATTCGACCAAAAAACTCTTAAAATTTTTAAATATTTAGCGGTTAGACATCATTTAAATATATATAAGAATTTGAGGAATTTGAAGTTATATGGTAATGTTAGTTCTTTTCATTCTACCTGCAAAACCATTATCTGCTCGTAAAATCTTAAAGAACAAGCCGGCAAGAGTAATCGTAATAGAAAGTCAGGTCGGGGAGTAAAAGATTAACTTTTGTTTTTAATTCAGCTGATGATTCTTGTAAAAAATTATTTAAAACTTTTAAAAAGGAGATCATAGAGAATAAAGCAGTAAACATGTCAAATTAAATACTTTTCGGTTAGGGCGTTTATAAATGTTGTTAAACTGTTTCTTGGTATTATTACATGCCTGACTTAAAGACATCATCAGAATTATGGATCAACTGCTACAATTGTTATCTAGAAATCTCAGTATTCGACACAATCAATAAGTTTGTCGGAAAAAACTATCTTTATGTAAAGTTTCCCTTAAATTGTGCTAAATGGATATGTTAGTAATATAGTAAACATTTATTTCTTAATTTGATTGTTTTATCATCATTAGAATGCAAGAACTACATTAAAATTAATGTTACATTTCATTATATAATTTTTTATTTATGTATACGCGTACACAATTGAAGTTCAATAAACATACCACGATGAAATATGGAAATTAGGAAATCCTTATTTTGAATAAAAAGAAATTATGAAAGCAAAGAAGAATGTTCAGTTGCTAATCTCTTCGATGCATGACACATCATTTGCGACTACAATAATCATTTTAAGTTCGCCAAAGCATGATCTTGTTAATGATTAACAAAAATAAAGAATAACCTTTTTCTAATGATGTATGAATATTTGCTGACCATTCAAATCCGGGTCATAGAAATTGCGTGTAACATACAACATTAAGGAGATGTGGTATAATTGCCAATGAGACATCTATCACCAAAGTTCAAATGAAGTGAATGTAAGCAATTATAAGCAACCGTACGGCCTTCAACAATGAGAAAAACCTGTACCGTATAGTCGGCTATACAAGGCCCCGACATGAAAAATATGAAACAATTTAATTGAGAAAACTAACGGCCTAATTTATAACAAAACAATTTACGAAAAACACATATGACAGACATAAACCTACGACAAACACTGAACTACAGGCTCCTGACTTGGGACAGGCACATAAAGAATGTGGCGAGGTTAAACATGCTTGTGAGGGCTCAACTCTCCCCTAATCTGGGACAGTGGTGTTACAGCACAACATAAGAACAAGCTATAAACATCAGTTGACAAAGGCTTAACTGATCAGATCAATACAATGCAGAAAAAAAATCTAACAAAAACACAGACCGCAGCAATGTATTTATACATTCCTTACAACAAAAAAGACACAAGTACAGATCTGAGAGTACTTGCAGTTACTGACAGCTAATTCAAAGCCAATTCCAATTAATAAATAAATCATGTATCGAAAACAAAAATATCAATCAGTACATATCCAACATCAAATGGATTTAGTGTAAAAACGTTATTAACAGTCAGAGAAGAACATTACCTTGTGCAATGCAAAAGTACTGGTATCGACAGATTGTAGTATTTTGAAAGTGCATATGTGTATAACAATAATATTAAGTATGCTTTTAATTTACTGATGACAAAATCAATACTTATACCAATAAAACAATATTCAAAGATCTAATTACAGTGTTGAATTGGTAACCTTTTAGAATAAGTTATTTTAAGGATTGATAAGTTTACCCGGATCGTATCTATATTTCCAGACTCGGTAAACAACATCACCGTAAAATTTAGGATGTGCTATTCCGTTTAAAATAAGTTTTCTACACGAAATTTCTGACTTAATAATTTACTGGTAATACATAGATACGTTCATTTCAGACGAAATGCGCGCCTGGTGTACAAAATTGTTTTTTTACACGAAATCCCTGACTTAATAATTTACTAGTAATTAATAGATACGTTCATTTCAGACGAAATGCGCGCCTGGTGTACAAAATTATAAGTCTGGTATCTTTGATGAATTTATTTACAAGCACTTAGTCGATGCCACTGCTGGTGGAGGTTTCTTCTTCGAGGCTATCACCAGCGCAGTAGTCAGATCTGAATTAGCATTGATATGGTCATATTTATAACTTATCTGTTTACAAAACTTTTAAATGTTCGAAATACTAAGGAGTTTCTATCCCAGGAATATATTACCTTTGCTGTATTTGGTAAAATCTTCCAGAACTTTGGGTCCTCAATGCTCTTCAATTTCATACTTTATGTGATTTTTTAACATTTTTGGTTCGAGCGTCACTGATGAGTTCTTTGAGGACAAAGCGCACGTCTAGTGTACACATTTATAAGGCAGGTTTCTATGATGAGTGTATTCATAGTTTAATTCGTTTTTGTTGTGGATACGCATTTACAAATTTATTCGATAAAGTGCTGGTAAATTTGATGCGTGTTCAATACTTGTGACTTTGATTGGGTCCATAAGCAGATTACAAGATTTATATGAAATTTATATTTTATGAAATAATAAAATTTGTTAAATAATTAATCAGTTTCAATAAACGAATACTCGGTACACATAGTGTACTAACTTTTATTCGAAAACTTGAAATTCTACCATCAAAATCTATTAATATTCCACTGTAAGTAAATAAAAGGAAATTATAAAAATTTGGCATTCTTTTAAAAAAAAGAGTGAAAAAATATCAAAGGTGCAATCATAACTCATTAATCGAAAAGAGACCGTTAGAACCATTGGACAAAATAGAAAAAAATAGAAAAATAACTGTGAAAAGATAAGCAACAGTCTACAAAACACAACATGGAAATCTAAAGACACAGCAATACGAACCCCACCAAAACCTGCGGTATCAGGTAATCCGATAGAGTTAACAGATCAATTAAACATATTCATATTTATTACATTCATGATTAATTCACAAGATCATGGGTATAACCTGATAAGACTGACACTAAATAAACATCGTTTTCAAAAAAATTAATGCACAGTTATTTTAGATATTTTAGTTATATTTATACTGCAATTTATATTTTAATTCGAATTGACAAGTAGTAGACTGGTGACCTTGACAACAAACTAACCAATTGTGGGATAGACAGTTATATTTATCCCGCCCGTCTTTTTATACTTTTCTCTGTTGACAATTATACAACCTGCATTTCTATGTATGTTTCATTTGTTCATTTTCTTTAAAGTATAAGACATGACCTCTATAATCAAAGTTTCAAACTATCAATCAATAGGTATGATACAGTATAAAGGTACGACTCACTACAACAAAATTGACCTTAGATGATTTAGGTTGTTCTGTTTTGGATCTGTTTATACTTTCATACCTTTCATTATGTAAATTTATATATAATGTTTACGTTTCATGTGAACAATACAGCACCTTATCAAATAAAATCTACAATCATCAACTGTCTTTTTTAAACGTTTTTCGTTTTATTCAAAGAAAAGTTATTGATTATGTCTTGATAGGGTCTTTCAAAATTGTGACCTTGTACATAGATATCAAATTTTAAATCTAGGATGTTCCATAAACTCTCAAAAAGCGTCCAAATACTGGTAAGTGAAATTTAGATGTATGTCTTCTCACAAGTTTACAACTGATCCTGTTTTAAATTAATAATTCTATACTGTTAAAATTTGAAGTCTTCAAATAGAAACTATTTTACATACACAGGCTATCGGATTAAGAATATATATATCAGGATAACAGGCCCCTTGTCATAACACGGTCTTAACAACATTCTATTTTTGCACTTTTAAAGTTTTATACAATCAAGAATATCCGTTCCTTCATTGATAAATTTAATTTATTTTTGCTATATTACTAGCATGTGACGATGGATATTTCGGGGCAAACTGCACAAGCAGGTGTAATTGTTTGAATGGAATGTGCTTAAAATCAACAGGAAAATGTGAAGGTAAGAAAATTAATTTCAAAGTTGTTGATTTTGTACAACATATATTTGTTTCTGTTATTCTTTATTAAAAAAATATAATGTTACCATATATAAGGCGACCAACAGCACCTGTTTTTGGCCGTAATGTTAATGTACTTCTCTTTTGGCCATATAGCTTTCAATTTGTGTACATGTCAGGTTTTTGGGATCTCGTTTGCCGAGTGGTCTGTGTAGTTCATCTACTGTATCACTAGCTATCAACAATGATGATTTGATTCTGAACCCCGCACGTGGCCAATCTTAATTGACTCGGATTGTCCTTTTCCTGCCGAATATATGTGGTTCTTTCCAGGCTTCCTCCACCAATATCAACTAACCGCCACGATATAGCAAATAGAACTGATAGTTGCGTTTAACACCATCAATTAATGAATCATGTCCGGTTTTCAAATTGATTTTCCTAACGAGAGCTTCGAATCCATTGAATTCATTAAGTGTTATTTCTATTTGCTATCACAGGGTGGATAACGCTGCTAGAAGACTGCTAGTCCTTTCAATGCCCTAGGGTAATCATTCTGTCTGCCTAATCGTCTGTTTGTATGTATGCATGTCCGTCAGCACTTATTTGTCCCATTAAAAGTCAAAATTACATCAACCGATGTTCATGTGTTTCATACACAGTGAAAATACCTATCAAAGGAAGTAGTTCTCTTTCGATTTGGTTGAAAACTTTTTTCCCAAAATTTGAGAAGTTTCTTTTTATTCAAGAATATCAACAAAAATAACGTATCATTTACTTTTCTAAAAATTGTTTGCCGGTTAGAACAATTTTCTGGGGGGGAGGGGGATCGGGGCCGAGATTCGCAATGAAAACATAGTCTTTGTTATAAAATTTAAAATTATGAGAAACGTTCGTGTAAGCTAGGGTAAAAATAAAACTTTATATACATAAGTATAAGAATAAGCTATTCCGAAGTGATTGAAGGTGACAAATAGTACTAGAAAGTGCGGTCTTACCTTACTTTTTTTTTTTTCAAATTTATCATAATTTTGAAAAACATAATTCAATATAAGGATTTCAACCTGATTGATATATAGGTACAATATGCTATTTCTAATTCATTCTCGATGTCGAGATGTCAAAACTTGTTTTTTTCAAAGCTTTTGCAAAGATTTCAAGGAAAATCGATACGTAGGTTAGTTAACTGTTCCAAATTAATTTCCTGTGTCAATAACTTTTGGATGCCCCCGATTTACGAATTGACCGCCAAAATACATAGTGTTTTGATTTGAACAAAATTTCATATCTAAAGAGAACACATCTTGAATTCAATCCTCTTCGTAATAGTAAAAGTTCAATGATAAGTTAATATTGATATTAAAAGACCTCCGAACAAAAAGGGATGTTCAGATCCCCGAGCCCGAAGGGCGAGGGGATTTGAACAGCCCTTTTTGTGAGGAGGTCTTTTTATGTCAATATTAACTTAATCATTGAACTTTTACTGACTTACAAACAGTCAAAATCATAAGAAAAGTACACAAATACTAATTCCCCTGAATTGGACGAGTCTAAAGATGTTCAACTTTATTGATAGTTAAACATTACTCAGACTGATATGTACAATTAACAGTTACCAAATTGCAATGGAAACGGACCGATTAAATGGCAGTACATCATTTAAATATTTATTTATTATAAATTTGTTAGCATTAAAATAACACCAAATGATAGTTTTACAAACTTAAGCGGGTAAATTCATATATTTGAATCCAACTTTTCGAAATAACGATTTCTTATTTAATAAATGAGGCAATCAAAACCCTATACATACCTCATTTATAACTGACCAATGAATATTCTGCACAACAAAGTCTTGTTATATATATTTGATGTTTTTAATCTGTCACGAATCATGAAATAGATTCGTAAAGACCAGATCTTAGAAAACAGTAAGTAAACTCTTCCGACAATTAACTTTTGAAACTGCTTGTTTCAGAACTTTTAATCGAACAGACCTAGATGTATAAGGCCCTTCACAATATTCATCCGGTAAATGTTCATTTTGTTTTTGATTCTGTAATTTTCCAACACTACGTTACATGCGAATGCCAAATAATTAGTGTTGTCTGTTCAGTCATATTAAATAATAGATCTTGCTTTTTTGGTTTTTTTTTAATAAAAACTATGCATGCAAACTTCAATGAATAAAATCGTATTATATGAAAACAAACTTTATAATGACACTGGAAAATGAGGGTATATTGAATAAGGACAAAAATTGACTTGCAACAGCTGACCACATTCGGACCACTCAAAACATTGTTGCAAGAATTTTTAATTTGCCGAGAGCGTTGATCCATGAAATCTTCTCTGAAGTCGATCATCGATGTTTACGTGTAGTTTGAAATATCATTTCACGTATCCAATTTAGGTTAGATACTTATAGCTCGCTTTAGTAACTGTGAGAATTCTGTGAAACTATTTTGTTTATTGTACTTGATTTTTTTTTTTGTATGATATTCTGTACTACCGCTCTCCTTGATGGTCTCGAGAGCGGGAGGTCGTTTGTTCGAATCCCGACCGGGCCAAACAAAGACGTTAAAATTGGTATTTGCTATTTCAACGCTAAACTCCTGGCATCATAGAGTAAGAGCACAGACTGGTCGGCTCAGAGTCGGAAATGTGTCCCTGTCGGGTGACTTTTCTTACTGCGAACTAATATCTTGTAAAATTACACGTTAAAAAAAAACACTCAGCGTGTCAGTCTAGTAAAAAGCGGGGTTAATACTCATATCATATTTACATGTTATCGTCCTGAATATTCATTTTATATGCCGCTGGTCGTCATCCATTATCATCATTAATTTACCGTTATATTATACAGTGTAGTGTATTTCTTCTACTGTTTTATAGTACAACTTCTTAAATTTTCACCGATCAAAATTAAAATTGGGCAGGTGAAATTTTTCAACCAAACACTTCTTGTGATTGTTGGGATACCTTTGACGGTAAATAATATTAAATCAAATGTGTGTTTTGGGATATATAATATTTGACGGTAAATATTATTGAATTAACTCCGTATAACTATTATTTAGTCATGGGGCGGTTTTGAGCATTTTATTCTGTATACTCATCTTTCTATAAAAACTGAATGTTGAATCTTAATGTTTTGATTTGTCTGTGTCTTTGGGTTGCTGTCGCATTACTGTATACCTTTATATCCTTTTATTGAAAACAAAATGATTCACTTGGGTATAGAGATATTGACAAGATATGGACCTCTCCCGTCCCACAGTATACCCTTGCCTTGGGTGCGTTCGTTTAGCTTGTCGGATATATAAATGCGCAGCTTTGTCTGATCGAAATAGGAATGTATTTCCGATGACTGGTGTAGTGGGAATTCCACGCTATCTATACGTTAAAAACATTAGAGGGAAATACGATCTACGCATGAGTTGAATGATTGAAATGTGTAAACAACAAGAAAGATCGGCTAAATCTTTTCAAATAAGTCGCATGGCTGATTTTTACACATTTTTTTGCCACTTTTGCCAGGACAATTGAAGATGAATTTTTTTTAACAAAACCGATTAGCAAGATAATATCTAAACAAAAAAATGAAACGCTCAAAATAAGTTGAATCCTTATATAAATTAGTGTCAACATTTTTTTATCCATTTTTGCTTTTATGTCAACTTTTATACCAGTCTGAGATATAAATAAGCTTTAAACAGCAAATGTTGTCACCTAGACGAGACAGTCGTCATTGTACGCTTCAATATAAGAGTTATTGCCACTCAATGAAGATTGGTTTTCTGTTCTAATCCCCTCTCCTATTAGTTTTGCTGGAAAGGATACAATGTAACCCCTGATGTGTACTATGACAACGTTTTTTAATGTTAAAAAAAGATTAAATGCAAAGAGAAAAATGATCGAAGAAATGCTAAGATTTACGCTTAAAAATGCAAATGTAAATAAAATTAAAATATATAAAATTAGGAAAACTTAAAGAGACAATTATCAACTGAAGACAAATGATTATATATCACTAAATGAAGCTGGTAAATTAATTGCTCCATTAATGTCCAGTGGCAAATATGTCATGCATATTCACGGCGAGTGGATCAACCTGAAGCAAATGATTACAATTTTAGAGTGGCACTTTTTACAATAAGCTTAAGGCAGAGCGTTCGATTGAGGTAAAACGTATGCCGTAATAGAATACAGTTGAACCATGGTCGAAGTCGTGTAAGTTAAGCTATTAGCCCTCCTTCCCTTTTTCTTCCACGGTAGACGAATGTCAAAAACAAAACGTCATGAATTTACAATCACTAACGGCCACTATAAGTAAATGAGATATATGAACTTTTTTTGTAAATAAATTCCTATTGCAGCCAACGTCACCAGGTTCGAGACAGGTTAGTATTTCCAATAAAATACCGTTTGATTATTGACCGGAGATATAAAAGCAACCAAAAGCACATTGAATAAAAAAATTCTAAAATAGTAAATTTTGGTATTTTGCTGGGTGTTTTCCCGATCCTATTTCGGACCCCCTGATTTTAAAAGGGCGTATCTAATTAGTCATGCCCGATTTACTTTTAGTAAACTGAACCTCAACTTAAAGACCTACACCGGGTAAATAAGTTCGAGGTACAATAAGTAGACAATAGAAATCTTTTGTGAAATGAGATCGTCCTAGGTCTCTTAGATAATTATTTTGCGTTGAATAACAATGAAAAATGCACGAGCAGGTTGGTAATCATAATTAAAGAAAATTGATATATCATGAAAGTAGTGAATTGCTTGCTTGCATGAGTATTTTTTTTTTTAATCTGTATCACACTAAAAAATTTGCAAGCGGGAATCTTGCTGACATGTCAATTTTCTAGTTGAAAATCTGTTATTGTGCTTAATACGCATGAAACGTTTACCACTTATGTTAAACAAATAACAATAAGGTAATTAAAAGTATCAGTGGCCCAACTTTATATGGCCACTACAGAACAGGATAGTC